AGGAAGTCATTTGGAGTTTCCTCCTCTGATGGCGGCCTCCCACGGTGGCATTCCTCTGCCCTGGCTTTCATAGTAGCTCAGAGGGAAGGTGGAGATGGTGGTTAGCCCAGGTGCTAAGCCTGTGTTCTGATGACTTGTCTAAAACATGGTTCTGACAAAAATTGAATCCATTCTTCCCAGACTGTTTTCCTTTCTGGGTATCTTTTCGGATGGCTCACATTGGGAAATGTTTATCTGCCCAAGCTGTGAGAATCGGGTGGTGATTCTATCTGCTTGTAGCCAGCTATCTTTGCATTCTCTGACCTGGGAGGGGGTGTAGTGTGTTTGTGTGTGTGTGTGTGTGTGTGTGTGTGTGTGTGCGCGCGCGCGCTTATGTTACTGGTGGGGGCACAGTTTAGGAGTGTCCAATGCTTCACTCGTAGCAATGTCAAAATTGTTCCAAAGTTCTAAATGGCCCAACAATTCTGTATATTTGATTGACTTGATCTTTGCATGCAATTAAGAAAAAGGGTTAGAATTTAGTCATCTATATGGCGACCAAAAAAAGGGTAAGTGTTGTTTAATTTGGTCTCAGAAATGTCTTCTATGTGAATCAACCTGCATTGGGGTTAACTCCCAATAGAACTGTGTTTGGAACAAAAGTCTCAGTTGTAGATAGACCAGTACGAATTGGTTTATGACGCTGAGAGCCAACTCTAAGGCCTTTTTAAGGCTGTCCTGACTTATCCTGTCTCTTGGGACCAATTTCTCCCTCTTATTTGGTCAAAATTTGATCCCAGAAGGGGAAAAAAGAGAATAAAACTCGACTGTTAGTAGTAACAAATATTTCTTGAGCACTGGTTATGTGGGGAACACTGCACTTTTCAGATATTACCTTGTCTACCCATACAACAGCTCTGTGGATAGGTGCTCTGTTTTGCTGATGAGGAAACTGATATTTAGGGAAATTGATTGACTTGCCCAGGGTCACACAGCTAGCAAATGACAGAGATGGAATTCAAAATTAGACATGCCTGACTACAGGGCTGTGCTCTTAATTAGACATAATCATAGAGGTCACGATGATTACTTGTACTCTCTGCTTCTACTTTCTTTATTTCTCCCTTCACTCTATTTCTCAATGCAGCTGTGTGGAAAGCTATGTGCTTTTTCTTCCACTGCAGGTCACCCACTGCCTGTGGATTCTCATCTTCTATCAAATCTTCACATTGAGAAAGGACAGGCTTTCTGCTTCAATTTTGTGAGTTCACACTCATGGGTTTCCTCTTCTGGGCAAGGAAGGATATTTACTGTCTAAATCTTCTTAGTTTTTGCTAGGCACCACATCAAAGACAGTGTAATGTCGTAAGTGAACATTCATGGCTGTGAAAACCACTCGTCCAGGTTCAAGTTCTGGTTCTGCCATTCAATAGCTCTGTGACATGAGCAAGTGATTTGACCTCTATAAACTGTAAAACAGGGATAATAAGCTATCTCCAGGTCTGTTCATTAAATCTACAGACACTGATTGAAGACCATGCCAGGTCCTAGAGATACTGGGTTGTGAGGTTTAAATAAAGTAATAAATGTGAAGTTCTTGGCACAGGACCAGTAGACAGTAAAGGCTCAATAATAAAGTAGTCATAAATAGTAGAACAAAAGGCAATTTCGATAATAGCCATCACTGGGTGGAAAACAGGGGAATGAGGGGTTTCCTGAACAGGGTTTTTCTGAATAGGAGAACTCTTGAAATGATCTTCCCCGGGCTGAGGCCAGCTCCTAATTTTAAATAATAGCCATAGCCAACCTTGAACACTTAACAAGCACTTTACATGTATTAACTCATGTATTCCTGACAATAACCCCCTGAAGTGGATTGTATTATATCCTCATTTTAGAGAGAAGGAAATGGAGGCCCAGAGAGGTTAAGTAACCTACCTGAGACCCCACAGCTAATTAACAGCAGGGTGGGGATCTGAACCAGCTAGTCTGACTCTAAAGCCTATGATCTCACTGCCTCTTTAAACTCACCACACTGGATTGGCCTTGATTTGTGTATCTGCTGCCTATGTAGCCAGCCTGGAGCAGCTCCAGAGACACATTCAGGCAGGGGATGTTTAGAAAGGTGTTTTGGGGGTTAGTATTCTGGGAGCCTGATTTGGTCTTCTCAGGGATGCCTCACTGATCCCCCCTTTACACCTTTACACCTTTACACCTCTTGGTGCTGTGTCTCTCTGACCTCACCCAAGACCGAATCAGGCCATCTGTCTGGAAAAGCAGCACCTCTGGGACCAGGAATGGAGGCACTGGCCAGGGCAGTTGCAGGAGGCAGGGCTGCCCCTCCTGGGGCCACAGGTGAAGACACTCCTTCATCACAGCCTCTGCTCTTCAGCAGTCTTTCACGGGCTGCTTTGGGACTGAGTGATGCCTGGTCTATCCTCCTTGTCCTCTTAGTGCCCGAGGTCTGCTGTAGAAGCCCCTGCCAAAGCCACCCCCCCAATACAATGCAGGTGACCTGTGCAGTGGGACACGGCCTCACTCAGAAGGGCCCATGCTTGGTTTAATGCCCTGCTGTCTCCATCTTGAAATCCTCCATAAGGTTTTGAACAAGGGGCTCCACATTTTCATTTTGCAGTGGGCCTTGCAAGTTAGGTAGCCAGTCCTGCTAAGACCCCTCTAAGGTCTCAGGAAGCTTTCCCGGCTGGAGAATCTAAGGGAGACCACAGGGGAATGCGGAGGACACTCCAGGAAGGCAGGAGTCTTAATCTCAGCCTGTGTTGGCCAGGTCAAAGCATGTTTATAGGCCATAGGAAGCCAGAGAATGGATCCACACATTTCTTTGGGGGACATGCATTGAGCAGGTTGCAATCCTTTTTTGCAGTTACTCCTATAAGTAAACCTAAAGGCCTCCGAACATGCAGTCTCTAACCAAGACGAACGCTGGAGAGGAGAGTCTGACTGATTTAAGCAGAGAAGTGAATCTGGTTTCTTTCTTTGTTCCTTAAGGTTTCTCTTACTGGCCACAAGCCTGAAGCCCCATACTTATGAAATCCTTACTTCCATCCTGCCAGTAAAGCAGACCCTTGCTTAAGGGCACACATGGTTTCTCCCTTCTCAAGAGCTTGCTGCCTCAATCAGTGGCCCTGTCCCCTTCGTCCCCCATCCCTCCAGATTTCTAGTCCCCCTTTCCTATCAGCCCTGTCCACAGGCTGCAGATGGAGGACTCTGGCCTCTCAGATGCTGCCTCTCCCTCATCCACCACCCCTTTCCTCCTCCTCTTCTGTGCTCTGGCTTCCATCCTCTCAACTGTTAAAACTGCCATCCCTAAAATGACCTATCAAGATTCAGAGTTTCATCAGCCTTGACCTTGTGGAGATAGGGACATGTTATGACTTCAGGGGCCTTAGGTACTTTTGCCTCTGGGACTCCTTCCTCCATAAAGAGATATTAAAATTATATTGGAAGGCTATGTTGTTATAAAGATAAGTATAATCCAGCCAGGATTCTGTTCATTTTTTAATTCTTATTTTAAAATATATTAAAACACTTTCATGGGGTCCCTAAAGTATCCATGGGCTCTAGGCTCTGCGCCTGCTGAGACTAACGGAGAAATCAGCCCTGTGTTGCAGAGTTGGGTAAAATGTAATAAAGCCTTCTTGAAATCTTTTCTCTCTGGGAAACCATACTGCGTTTTTTGTTGTTGTTCCTTTTATTGGGAAAATAATATAGTTACAAAGAAAATATTAAGGAGAAAACCCTTGCTCAATCCCATATCCTAACGCAGCTCTTCATTTGTGATTCAGTTTCTCATCCAGATGGAAAGCTATTTTACATACCTGACTGCTGTGTTCACACAATTTTGTATTCTCTTTGTCCTATTTAATATCATTTTATTGAAAGTACCTTCCATGTTTCTGTAATAACAGCTTCATAACCATCCAGCTGACTTACGGTGATTGACTTACTTTTCCTTTCTGCTGATTTCCTGTTTTTTTCCAGACTCTGCTTTCTCTGGCAGTGAATTTTTATAGAATTTCTTTTCCCTTCTGTGGGTTTCGTCTGGGCCATTTGGTCATTCTGATTATCATTCCTCCTCCCCCCAGATAGTTTGATTCATAGCTTCAACTGTTGCCTTCACAGGGCCAAGGAAAATGGGCTTTGCAGACAGTTCTTCTCAATGGCAATTACTTGCCAACTGTCTGTGGACGTGACCTCTCTGATCCCTTCCATAGCACATGGAGTTCATTTGAGAGCCAGCTAGGCCACTGCGCATGGTTTTGTTAAACTCCATGTTCTAGTAATGGGGTCAGAGGGTCAGAGCCTGAAGGTACCTCATAGATGACCTCAGTCCAACTTCAGTATTTTGCAGACAAGGAGACTGAGCCACAAAGAGGTTCATAAATTTGATCATGGTTCTAGAACCAGTGGCTAGGGATTTGACATTTTGTTCCTCAACCTCAAAGTTTCATGCTCTTTCCTCAATAGCATCCTACCTGAAGTTGTTGATGAGGATATTTTTTTTTTTAAGATTTTATTTATTTATTCATGAGAGATGCAGAGAGAGAGAGAGAGAGAGAGGCAGAGACACAGGCAGAGGGAGAAGCAGGCTCCATGCAGGGAGCCTGACGTGGGACTTGATCCCAGGTCACCAGGATCACGCACTGGGCTGAAGGCGGCGCTAAACCACTGGGCCACACGGGCTGCCCTGATGAGGATCTTTTATGTATATTATGGTACCATTAGAATGTGAGTTTATATTATGGAACTATATTTACACTTATTTGGCCACTCATTTTATCTGAACATCATCTAATGGGAAGAAAAAAAGAAAGGCTCCACACCACAGTTTTTAGTGAAGCCCGTACTTTAAAATCATCTGGATCACAACAAGAGGAGTGTCTAAGTGATTCATGTTCTGTCTAGTGGTAACTTCCCCTGTTCTGTTTATGTTCACTTTGTGTCTATGGGCTGCTGAATCACTTATAACTAAGGTTTTCAACAGTCGAATCAACTAAACTTACCTGTTCAGAGACAACGAGCAGACCAGTCTTTGTCCCAAGATAACCAGGCCAACACTAGTACTAGCAACCTGCAGACAACAAAAGCGTTCGTTACTAAGAGGATTGACTCTATTTTGGCCACAAATATCATTTCTTGTAGTAGCTCCACTTTCCCTCTCATTGCTAAGAGATACTGGAAAGAAATAGCTTGAAAATCTACTCTTGCAGATAGGAAACCTAACTATAATGACTTTTTAAGGATCTCCCTTAAATTATTTTTCTTTTTTTTAAATAAATTAATATTTATTGGTGTTCAATTTACCAAAATACAGAATAACACCCAGTGCTCATCCCGTCAAGTGTCCCCCTCAGTGCCCGTCACCCATTTACCCCCACCCCCCGCCCTCCTCCCCTTCCACCACCCCTAAATTATTTTTCTATTTTTTTCCTAAGGTCTTTTCTCCATGTACTGTGTATGTGTTTGTGTGTGCACATGTACATGTGTGTGTGACATTTTGCTTAGATTCATAGTAGTCCCTTTCTGTTGTATTGCATTTGGCCTTCATCTTCTCAAATAACCTTGAATTCCATCCTGATTGACTTATTTTGGGAAAAAAAGAGTCAGTTATCAATGTAACTGCAGTGGCAGGAAGGGCACACAGGAAGCAGAGGAAGGGAAGAACTATTTTACCCTGGAGGGGTTTGAGCACTGGCCTCCCATACTGCTCCCAGCCCAGTCTCACCTCTGTCCTCACCCCTAATTGATGAATCAGACCTCATGCCCCCAGATACCGAGCAGAGCACTGTTGGTCAGTGGCCCCCACTGTAGGAACGGGACTGGTGTCCACAGTCTGCCCTCCTGCCCCTTTTGCAGGCTTACAAAATCCATGGACACAATGGCTTCAGCAGTTGAGTTCTCAGGCTGGGTGAGGATCACGATGGAGGCAGGGATGTCCAGGGTGAAGTTACCAGGTAGCAAACTGATCACGGGAGGCTCCGTTGCCATGACCCGTACCATGAAGGGCTGGGACAAGATGTAGATTTCTGCAATCTACCAATGTTCAGGGAAAGAAGTGACCAGGGAGTTGAGTTGATAAGGGGAAATCACAAATTTGGGGTGCTTGGATGATTAAATCTGACATCATGCAGTTAGAATACAAACAAAACTCTTTAATAATCATGACACCACCACCAACACACAAAACAAATAATAACAACAGCTGACATTCACTGAACATATACAAATTATTTGGTTTAATCTTCACAAAATCCCTCTGGGTGGATGCTGTCAGAATCCCTGTTTCACAGCTGAAGACAGGGGGTCTTTTGTTAAATAATTTCCTTAACTTCCGAATGAATAAATTGAAGAACTGGGATTCACAACCAGGTCTGTCTGACTCAAGATCCTTGCTCTAAAACCAGGATGCTCAGAGCATCTCTTTGTTCTCAAGACCAAACCTGAGCTTTCAGTACACTGTGTTCAGTACCCAGGTGCTGTGAAGGCATGATATTAATATTTTCTAACATTGAAAATATTAATTAATGCCCAAACATGGTCACTATTCCCCCATTTCCCATTCAAACTGATTATTTCAAATGTAAACCTTATGGAAGGGACAGTTGATTTATTTTGTAAACTTATAATGCCTTTAATAGTACCTTGTTTAGTAAATATTTGTGGCTATTTTATTAAAAGAAAAGAAAAGTCTTGGGTGCCTGGGTGGCACAGTCAGTTGGGTGTCTGACTCTTGGTTTTAGCTCAGGTTGTGACATCAAGCCCTTTTTCAGGCTCATGCTCCGCGTAGAGTGTGCGTAAGACTCTCTCTGCCTCTCTCTCTGCCCCTACCCTCTACTCACATGCTCTCTTTCAAATAAATAAATAAATAAATAAATAAATAAATAAATAAATAAATAAATCTTTAAAAAAAGAAAAAAAATCTCTTCAGAATGGAAAGATGGACTCAGATTGGACCAAAAAGCAAGAGAAAGAACCCATAAATCCTCCAGAAGTAATTGCAATAAATCCAAATACACTACACCAAGGAGCCAAATTCTCAGTACTTACCCGGGAGAGCATGTTGCCAAGACCTTGAGAGTTTTGAACCAAATGGTTGGAAATCTGGAAAATCAAGACCATCATGTTACTCTAAGATTTTTACCTGGTTCTCTTTTTAGGGAAAACTTAACTTTCCTTATATTTTTATGAGTCATGAAGTTGTTACACCAACAATCAACTGGTGTTTAAAGGTGGCCTATCGTTTTATAGCCCAGCCATAGGAAATCTGAGGTCCAGAGAAGTAAAGTAACTTGCCCAAGGTCACACAGGAAGTGCCTTTTAACCTTGGCAACACTGTTTATGTTATATATGTATGATCCAGGTGTAAATATCCCACAGTGGTTAACAATAAGTCTTGTGCTATTGCCCATCTTTTCAGAGATTACTGACAAAGGATGCTTAAGTAATTTATCTTCATGGATGGATGGTTTCCAAATCTGAAGCTAGAGCTTTCTAATTCTCAGTAGTCTATGGCAGCCAGTGCTACCACACCTAGAATTTTGAATTCAAATTTTATAACCATTTGTATAATTAAGACCCATGGAATGAGAAGGTTAGTAAGGGATACTTAATAAAAGTCATTGGTTGACTGCCTGGAGAGAGTGTTCTCATCTCATCTTTGCATGGCAAAGAGAATTCATGAGTATGTGTCCTATTACCAGTCATTGTAGATAAGTCAGTTGAAATTACCAATAGGAAAAGTTTGTATTGGCATAACACAAGGCATAATAATAATACTAACAACAATAATAAGCAACACTTAAAGAACACTTATGCTGTGCTAGGCATTGCTCTGTATGCTTTACATATATTTAAACCTCTCTAAAGTCCATATCAACCTTGTGAGTATGGAATTATTATTCCCATTTTTAAAATGATGATGCTCTGGCCCAGAGAAATTAAATAAATTGAAGATGCCCAAAGTTACAGGCCATAAATGGTGGAGGGGAGTCTTGGCATGATTTAACATCAGTCTAGAACAGTGACCTGAAATTAGCAGATCTGGAGACCCAACAACTCCACAACTAATAACAGTATTCAGTTCACAATTACTTCAGTCATGGCCTGCTAGGGTTGATAGTCTAAGTTTTTAGACTTAAAAAGGCCAGGAAATAGAAACTATCACATAAAATTCCCATAATGGGCTACTTATAATAAGACTAAATGCTAGTATTGATTGTTTCATCCATTAACTCTCCTCACCTCTTTCATGGAGAGAGTGATGTTGAAGGCCCCAGCTATAAAGTAAGCAAAGGATGCAGATTTAAAGAAAAACTCGGAGATTCCAACATAGAGCATAGAGTCACTGCGTTCTGGCAGCGCAAAAGGAACTGGCAAGAAGGGGGGGTCAGTGAGGTTGTCCAGTGGGTAGAATACACCCTGTGGGAAAACAGAGAGAAAGATCAGTGTATCAGTTCAAGACTTGGGTATAGAGCACTAATGAAGGTGGATCTGCTTATGTCAGAATCAGGAAAATACCAGAAACTCAGTAGGGATTAAAAGACCACAGGGCCTTTTGACTCCTTGACCAATGACTGTGGTTTCACAGCTCTGAGGACTTCTTGAGTATATATGGACATGTCTGTCCATGTTGGGGTGTAACCTTCTCTCAGAAAGCAGGTGCATTTTAACTGGATGCACAGATCTACCTAGTTCTTGAGGTGCTATGTAAAGATGCTAAACCCTTGACCTTCAAACTCTATGACTGCTGAGCATCTGGGGTATCAGAGACTCAGAAGGACCCAGGACTCTCAATGGGCTAAAGCATTTCTGTGGCATTCCGGATGCTGCCTTCAGTGGCTATAGGGTGTTATTCTAAAATGGTGTCTCGAGTAACATTTAGCTGAGTTCTGTGACTCTAAGTGATTGAAGTATAAGTCAATATGCACTTAAAAAAAAACACTGATATTAACTTTGGGGCAAAACTAAGCATAAAAATTAATCTCTCTTCCAGAATCAGCAAACACCATCTTCGCATGTGAATTGCTCTGAACGAGATCAAGAGCCCTCTGTTAAATTGGCTAACCTGACAGGAACAGGGGTATTGATATGTATAATCTACTGATGTGTTCTTTTTTTTTTAATAAATTAATTTTTATTGGTGTTCAATTTACCAACATACAGAATAACACCCAGTGCTCATCCCGTCAAGTGTCCCCCTCAGTGCCCGTCACCCATTCACCCCCACCCCCCGCCCCCCTCCCCCTCCACCACCCCTAGTTCATTTCCCAGAGTTAGAAGTCTTTATGTTCTGTCTCCCTTTCTGATATTTCCCACACATTTCTTCTCCCTTCCCTTATATTCCCTTTCACTATTATTCATATTCCCCAAATGAATGTTAAGTTCTAATACACGCAGAGCCACTCTACCTGCTGCCTCTTAGCCACAGACCTATCCCCAGAGACAGAGTCACCATGATACTTTGCTTGGAGAAAGCAGTCATATGTTGGGCAAATCTAAACCATCATTTACCAATCAATAAAATGTTGAAGGGTCTTTGAAAGAGCATATGCATGAGGGAATTGCTTGAAAGGACATTAAATTATTTGAAAGGTATGTAGTGATAGTTCCTTCTGCATATAATATTTGTTCTTCGAATACTGGCTGTTGATAGCCAGGATGTGAATTTTTTTTATAAATTTATTTTTTATTGGTGTTCAATTTGCCAACATATAGAATAACACCCAGTGCTCATTCTGTCAAGTGCCCACCTCAGTGCCTGTCACCCAGTCACCCCCATGCCCCGCCCACCTCCCCCTCCACCACCCCTAGTTCGTTTCCCAGAGTTAGGAGTCTTTCATGTTCTGTCTCCCTTTCTGATATTTCCCACTCATTTTTTCTCCTTTCCCCTTTATTCCTTTTCACTATTTTTTATATTCCCCAAATGAATGAGACCATATAATGTTTGTCCTTCTCCAATTGACTTATTTCACTCAGCATAATACCCTCCAGTTCCATCCATGTTGAAGCAAATGGTGGGTATTTGTCGTTTCTAATGGCTGAGTAATATTCCATTGTATACATAAACCACATCTTCTTTACAGGATGCGGATTCTGGTGATGATATAGTTACCTTCAAATTCAGCTCGATATAATTCTCAGTAATTTCTGGAGAACTGATGAGGGAATAATCCAGCAGAGTATAGTTGTCAATCTTGGTTAAAACTAAAAAACAAATAAAAACAAATATTTATTAAAGACATAGTATAGCATCTGATTATTATCTATCCGGAGCAATATAATTTTAATTCTCTGTTATTTAAAATAACCAGAGGAGAGTAGGTGGAGTTTGTAGGAAGCACGATTGCAGATGAGGGAGTGAGGTAGAGAAACTTGCCCATGGGAGTCTTCAACAAGTTCTTTCCTTACTACATATTCCTCTTTCCCTACCTCCCCAATCCATCCTTTTTTCATCCATCTGCACCCAGTCCAATCTACTTCTCCAGCCACTGTGCAACCCTTCATTGACCCAATATTCATTCACCTAGTGTGGGTTAGGCACTTTGCCTGGTGCTGGGGACATGGTCAAAGTCCCTGTACTTGTGGGACTCCTAGCCTGGGGGAAGAGTCAGACATTATTATAATACAGGATAGTAAGAGTAGGTCTAAAACTGAGCTCCTGATGGTCCTTCTACAGACTTATGCTTATAATCTTCTCCATCTTGGTAACTGGTGATTTCCCTTCTCCCCATTTTTTTAGTCACACAAATGAAAATATGGAGTCATCCTTGACTTCCCTCATGACCCATGTGCAGTGTCGGCAAATACTACTGTCTCTACCTTCAAGGTACAACCAGAACCTGAGCATATTCTGCCATCTTCATCACTCCATCCAGGTCAACTGCCATCACTGTTCATGCAGGTCAATGCAGTAGCCTCTTACGTGGTCTCCCTGCTTCCACCCTTGTGCCATTCCTGTTTATTGTGAATAGATGGAAGCCAGGGTGATCTCCTTACAATATAAGTCAGATCATGCAAGCCCTGTTCAGAACTCTCTGAAGACTTCTCATCTCAGACTAAGAGCCAGTCTTTGTATGGAGCTGCAGAGTCCTGAAGACCTGAGCAGTGCTTTCTCCCGCTCTGACCTCATCTCTGGCTGCCCTTCCCCCTCATATTGTTCCCAGTATGGCCTCCTCACAGTTTTTCCAACACACTTGGCATGTTCCTACATGGGCCCTTGAGCTTGCCCATTCCTGTATCTGAAGTGTTCTTCGTCCAGATTAGGAGTGGTTCACTCTCTACTCCATTCAAATTCTTACTGTAATGTCCACCTGCTCAGTGATGTCTTTCCTGGCCATCCGATTTTAACAGAAACACCTCCAAGCTCCTTTTCTACTTTATCCTTCTTCTTATCACTTAGCCCATCAGTATCATAGATTTAACTTACTATCTTGCTTGCTGTCTGTCTCCTCTGACTAGTCCCAGGAGGGCAGGGATTTCTATCTTCTGGGCTTACTGTTGCATTCCCAGTACCAAGAACAGCACCCAGGCTCTTACCGGTTCTCAGCACACTATTGGTAAATGAATGAATGGATGGAGAGCAAAGAGAGAGATATGCCCAAAGTATCATGTGAGCACACAGGAGGCAAAACTTTGGGGTGCAGGCTATCGGGTTTGACTTCTCAGATAACACTATGTCTGAGCTGAGCCTTAAAAGATAATGAGGAGTGGACAGGACTAAGGATGGCTCAGGGGTAGGAAGTGGAAGGGACTGGACCCCTCAGGGCTTAGTGCAGTACTGGCAAAGAAGTAGGTGTTCAATAAATATCTCATAAATGAACAAATGAATTGGTAAAGGGGAGGGGAAGCTCTTCTAGGAAGGAGGGCAGCATGAGCCAAGTAAGGGGCATGGGGGCAGTAGAAGCAGTTTGTGGGAGCAGAAAAAGGTATAAGATGAGGCTGAGAGAGGTAAGTTGAGCCAGAGCATGATGGGCAGGTCATGTAGTCCTTTATGTTAAAGCATTTGGACTTGATCCTGAGGCAACAAGGAATCACTAAAGGAGTTAGAACGGGGTGGGAAGGGGATAACTTGGTTGAGATTAGCACGACTCATTCTAAAGAGGATGAATTTAGTGTCAGAGCTGGCATTTCCCATGGCTCTAGTTTGCAGAGACTAAAGCAGGTAGAAGGTAGTAAGAGAACCATCCTGAAGAGGCAGTTCTGGGACTCACCCTCTAGCATGCTGAGATTGGCATTCAGGGCTTCCACCTCACTCGTGATAATGGGACAGAGCTGGCCATAAAAGGAATAAAAGAACTGTAGGTTATCATATTGCACTTGAAACCTCTATTTATGGGCCTAGACCTTGCAAACAAAGGCCTTCTGGTTAGAAGCCATTCTCCCTTTGGTCATAAGGACTTTCCCTGAAATTAGTTGATGCCTCTGGGCCACACGTTATGTATGTATGGGTGGCATGCCATTGAATGCTGGCTAAACTTCAGAGCAACCAGGACTACACCCAGTTAGTCCAATAAAAGAATGGGCCCTCGGCTTTTCTTCCTGTGGCATGACAGGACATGTGCCCAGTGCATTTGGTGCGGTCACATCTGAGGACCTTTGGCTATGCCTTTCCTGGCTGCGGGGATGCCACAGCCTCCTGCCTCCTCTGTCAGTGGTTCCATTCTCTGCTCAGAGAGGTAAAAGCTGGGGGCTTCACTTTCCCACTTGGCTGGCTTGAGAGCCCAGTAGTCAGACATATATTTGGATCAGAACCCCTTTTGGAGTTAGAAAATCAATCTTGAATTGGGCTCAAGCTTGTCTTTAGGAAGGAGGAAGAGTACTGACATGGGTGGGCTTCTGTGTGCCAGGCATGTGCGAAGCACTCAGTATGACAGTTACTAGCAGACGCTTGGGAGCCTGGGGTTGACTCCCTTGGTAAGTTATTTGTACTCTGTCCTCAGTTTCCTCATCTGTAACATGAGGATAATAACTGTACCTATTTCATCATGTTGTTGTGAGGAGAAATAGAAGTAATCGGGGCTGCCTGGGTGGCTCAGTGGTTTAGTGCCTGCCTTCAGCCCAAGGCATGATCCTGGAGTCCCAGGATTGAGTCCCGCATCAGGTTCCCTGCATGGAGCCTGCTTCTCCCTCTGCCTAGGTCTCTGCCTCTCTCTATGTGTGTCTTTCATGAATAAATAAATAAAATATTTTTAAAAAAGAAGTAATCCATGTACTATTGCTTAGCACATAGCAAGCATTCCATAAATGTCAACTGTTGTGTTTTAACCCCATTTTGGCCTCATGATAATGCTGACAGGTGAGCACCCTTGTCCCCTGTCATAAACGGGAAACCTGAAACTTAGAGAGCTTTAGTGAGTTGCAGAACTGGGACTTGGAACCTAGATAGTCGTGGTCTAAGCATTCTTTTCTGTTTTCCTGTGGCACAAAGGGAATACTAGAAACAAAGCATCCATGATCTCTAAGTCTTAGGCAAACTTCAGGTAAACTTAGCTACTGGCTTCCTGTTAGAGGCCAAAGAACCACACCTGGTCTCCAACAGAGGAGGGATGGTGAGTATGGGGTCCTTGAGCCGACAGGCTTTCCCTGTCATTCTCCAACAGGCATGTGCACTGGTGCTCATCACCCACCAGGTGAGAAGGGAGAAAGCCCGTGTAACTTTGGAGTCCCCTGAGCAGCGAGGTAACCTCCTTGGACAAGCTGCTGAATGTGTTTGAGTGCTGATTTTCTTGGTGATGTTTATCAAGCACTGACTGCCTATCAAGCATAAGGGGAATGGAGGGTTGTAGATACTGTTCTTGCCCTTTCATTTCCTGTCCTCATCCTTCTCCTTGTCTCCCCTCAGCTGTGAGTAAAGGGTGCAGCAATGGTCTGGCCTAGACTGGAAAGAGGCACACACAGCCAATTCCATCTTGCCCTTCGTCAAACACTGATTTCTGAAATCGAGACACTTGTTGTAACTTTGTTTGTTTTTTAAATATTTTATTTATTTATTCTCTCATGAGAGACACAGAAAGAGAGAGAGGCAGAGACACAGGCAGAGGGAGAAGCAGGCTCCATGCAGGGACCCTGATGCGGGACTCAATCCCGGGACTACAGGATCATGCCCTGGGCCAAAGGCAGGAGCTACACTGCTGAGCCATCCAGGGATCCCAAGACACTTGTAACTTTGGAAGCTATCTTAACTCAGACTGTTTCTGGAAATATCCTTTCTTCTCCCCCTTTCCTTACCTATCAAAATCATACTTATACTTCAAGGCCCAGTTCAAGTCCTGCATCCTCTAAATAATATCCTCTAGGATACTTTCAGGCCCTTTGATTTAATCTTTCCATCTCTCTGAACCCCTTTGGTTCAGTCCAATGATCATGTAATTATGTATTAAATTCAAATACTCATTAAGTTATTGTTCCACAAGACTGAATTGGGTTTTTCTAAAAAGAAGGTAATTTTATTCCTTTTTTTATATCCCTAACAGCCTGTAGCCTGGTGCTGGGCATGCAGTAGGTATGCAATAAATAAACTCCTGTTGGTTGTTTTCCCAGCCTGTGCTGAGCACTTGAGGGAGAGAATGCTGTTTCATTCATCTCTGTATCCTCAGCACTTAGCACAATGTTTGGCACATGGTAGGCAACTTGCAAAACTTGGTAGGTTGCAAAGAATAATGTACATGAAAGTGCCTTGGATGATGGCTAGCATACAGCAGGGGCTCCATAAAGGTTTCCTGACTAAGGTAAAGCATGGCAGTACTGCTGCTGAGCATTTTACTGTGGTTGCATAACCTTTAAAGACTTACCATTTCATTTAAGTTCTTTAAAATGGGTTTTTCCATGGGCTCAGCAAAGGAGTTGTACAGGACACTGGGGAAAAGAGACAAAACGTGGGCTTATTCAGGGACTGTATCTGCTGGTTGTGAACCTGCTCTGACCCTGCCGGAGAATCCAGCCCCACTAGTAATTGCCCATTGTGGAGCTATCACTCACCTGAGTTCTCCAGAAAATGACACGTGGGCATGGCTCACTTGGGCATAACAGTCTTGGAGCTTCAGGATTGGGTGACCAAAGTCATTTTGGGAGAGGACAATGATACCAGTGAAGTAGACCCCAGACAGAAACAAATCAGCTTCTCCTGTGTCTTGACTATTGAGAGAAAAAGTACAAGGTTACCCAGGCCTGGGTAGGGGGGAGATGGACTGTTTGTTTCTCTGACTTCCCACAGCCTCTAAGCTCCTGGAGGGCAGGAACGTTCTCATCTCTGGATTCCTGGCATCAACAACAGGTAGGAGCAGAATAGGTACTGAATGTTTACTAGACAAATGAGGCAATGAGTATGTGAATGGTAACAGCTTTAGCTTAGCTTTCTAATCCTGAGTGCTCTGTCCCCCATAGAGGCCAAATATATATTAAGCACCATTCATATACAATGCTTGTGTGGATAGAGGACATGGGGTAGCCTTATTTATGACGGGCACAGATGGAGTGGGACACTTAGATACAGTCTGTGAACTCTTTGAGGAAGTGGAGTGTGGCTTATTCATCTCTACCTCCCCTCCCCAGGATGAGCACACAGAAGAGGCATTAATATATGCTGATGAGTCAGCAAAAAAATGAATGAATACCTGAATCTATGTTACTTATGGGAAAATATAATTTCTCTATGATGCACAAGACTGGAGTTCTTGAGATGGAGATAAATGGTACTTGTCTGGCACTCAATAAGTGGTTGTTGAATGACTAAGTGGATGACTGGATGCGCTGTTCTGGGGCACCAACCAAGGCAGACCTAAATATTATACCTAGGACAGTGAGTTGCACACAGCAGATGGTCTGTAAGTGTAACTTGAATTTGATCCCTCTTTTTTTCTAAGAGGGTGCAAAGGCCTTTTGCTAGGGAGAGAATTGGGCACAAGCTATTATCCTCGAATCTCCTTGTGAGGTAAGAAGGCCCCCTTTCTCCATCAGTTGCCCCTGTAGATGGGGAAGTGAGTGGAATGGCTCAAGATCATACAGTGACTCACTGAAGGTCTAAAATGTTGAGCACATGTCTGATCCTCCAACTGTCAGGGCCTTTTAGCCCTTGGGAAATCTTAAGTGACATTTTGCTCTGCCTTTAAGGGAAGGATACTTTTCAGCCCTCCCTCCTCCTCCTCTACCCAGCCCCCAGCATAGATATTCTGACTTAAATCTCTCCTGGAAGAAAGTGTTCTTAAGAAAGACTGTTAATGGCTGAGGGAAAGAAGCCTAATATCAAAAATGTCTGTGAATTTATGTACTTTCAATTTTGGTTCCATTTCTCCCCAGAAGAGCCACAGACAGCCTTGAAGGGAACACTCACAAGAGTGGAGATTTGACATCCCAGTTGGTACTGATGTTGGCTGTGCCATGGTTGGTCAGTGCCTTGATTCCCACTCCAGGCACAAAGGCTAATGAAGTATTTGGAAATGAAAAGGCATTGATTTTTATGCTGTAAAAAACAAACAAGGGGGTTAGCACATGTCTTCTAGAGAGGTCTTCTAGCACATCTCTAAATATGGCAACATCAGAAAGGATGTTTATGGAACTCCTGGAAGCAATTGTGAACCTCAGGTCTGAGGTGCTGCCTCTGGGCACTGCCTTTAAAAACAAACAAACAAACAAACAACCACCTCATGACCCAGAGATCAAGACCTGAGCTGAGGGATCCCTGGGTGGCGCAGCGGTTTGGCGCCTGCCTTTGGCCCAGGGCGCGATCCTGGAGACCCCGGATCGAATCCCACGTCGGGCTCCCGGTGCATGGAGCCTGCTTCTCCCTCTGCCTGTGTCTCTGCCTCTCTCTCTCTCTCTGTGACTATCATAAATAAATAAAAATTAAAAAAAAAAAAGACCTGAGCTGAGATCAAGAGTCAAACTCTTAACTGACTGACCCACCTAAGCAGCTCTGGGCACTGCCTTCTAATTCCCCTTTAACCCTTGCCAAGAAGCCCCTCCCTGGTGTCTAATTGAGGGGGAAATGAGAAATATAGAAACCAATTAGAAAATAATCAATTTCTTTAGTTTCATTAAAGACAGTATGAAATACAACACTGCCATCATAATTTTTCCCTTCAGCTATTCCAGTATTTTTCAAGGTATATAGGGAGGACATTAGTATTTTGGGACAACTATTTTGTGTAGAGGACTGTTAATATACATTGCAGGGTACCTGGCATATGTGCCAACAAAATGCCAGCAGCGCCCCTCCCCCCATCATTGGGATAATCACAAGAGTGCCTTCCTCCTGTTCCCAGAGGCCCTCTATGTGGACAGTATCTTCCCTAGGTTAGAAACTTAGAGTATTAACTTTACCTAGGATTCTCTGAACTGTCAACAGGTAGGAGGCAATGGGCTGTATGCAATCTATACAGGTAGGAGGCTCATGTATTGAGTGATTACTCCCTACCAGGCACTGTGGTAAGCACTTTATATCCATTAGCTCATTGTAATCCTCACAATAATCTCATGAGGTTGTTGCTGGTTTTGCAATCTGCAATTCAGAGATGAGAAGATAAGGAACATGGTTGAAGTCTTATATAAGCGGTAGAACCAGACCTGGAACCCTCCTCAATCTGTCTTCAGACTGTGTTCTTAACCAGTAGGCTACACCACTTCATGTATTGTGCAAGGGGCACTTGGCTTAGAACTGAGTTTTGTGTTAGCTGTGCAACCTTGGGTAAGACACTTAATTTCTTACAGTCAATCACTAAAAGGAAGGGTTATTCATGGGTAGGTTGAGAAGACAAAATGAGATCACTGATGTATAACTGTGGCACAGGAGAAAGGCATTGTTATGAACTAAGATTAGGAAAAATATAAAACATAAATGTTATAGCTGATAACAAATGCTTATTTAGTGTTTCTTCTATTTTCCTTCTTTCCTACCTGTTCTTTGTCACACACCCTGAGTCCCACTGTGGGAAGAAGATGGTGGAGGTTCACTTGACAGATCTTAGAAATCTTAGAAATATGAAAATATTTCATATATAAGGTTGATTCATATAGGTCTAATGCATTCTTTGTATTTAAGCTATGGATGTATCATTAATGAAAATCATTTCTTTGTTGCTAGGCATCTAGGTTGTTTCCAGTTATTTCTGTATTATAAACAATGCCACACTGAATATCCTCATACATGCTGTTTATGTGTATGTCTTTCTAGTAAGGATACTGGGAAGTGGGATTGGTAGGTAAAAGCGCAGGCATTTTAAAAAAAAGTCCTTTTACCTTCTAAAAGAGCAGTGTCCAACAGAAACAGAATATGATCCACATACATAGTCAAAACATTTCTAGTAACCACATTTAAAAGAGGAAAAGGGGGGATCCCTGGGTGGCTCAGCGGTTTGGCGCCTGCCTTTGGCCCAGGGCACGATCCTGAAGTCCTGGGATCGAGTCCATGTTGGGCTCCCTGCATGGAGCCTGCTTCTCCCTCTCCCTCTGCCTGTGTCTCTGCCTCTCTCTCTCTCTCTCATAAATAAATAAATCTTTAAAAAAAAAGAGGAAAAGAAACAGGTGAGAGTGATTTTCTTAATATTTTTTACTTAACCCAATATATCTATAATAGCATCATTTCAACATATAATATAAAATTATTGATGAAAATAAAAATATTTTATTTCCCTTTTTTCAAAATAAGTCTTGTGTTCACAATATGGTCTTTTTTAATACTCAAAATATGACTCAATCTGGACACTGAATTTCATCAGAAATACTTGTCCTATATTTAGATGGGATAAAATTTTCAACTGAAAAAGTACACTTCCATACTTAAATTGTTCCACACATAGTTAAAAGCTTTTCAAAAACTGAATTGAGTACCCATTTTAAAATTAAAATTAATTAAAATTAAATAAGTAAAAATTCAGTGCCTTATTTGCACTAGTCCCATTTCCAGTGCTCAGTAGACACATATGACTGGTGGCTCCTATGTGGGCAGCACAGGTTTAAAAGTACTGTACCAGTTTATTTATTCCCACTAGCAATGCATGACAATCCCTATGTTTCCTCATATTCACCTACATTTCATAATATATGATTAACCTTCGATTTTTCTGCTGAGGCCTTATCATCACTTTAATTAAATAATTCATTTTGTAAATATATAATATCCATCACTTTTACTGGACATTAAGGACAGGGGATATCTGGGCCATTCACTACAATATCCCCTATGCCTAGAACAAGCCTTGGTACCTAGTAGGTTCTCAATAAATACTTGTTGAGGGATCCCTGGGTGGCGCAGCGGTTTGGCGCCTGCCTTTGGCCAAGGGTGCGATCCTGGAGACCCGGGATCGAATCCCACGTCGGGCTCCTGGTGCATGGAGCCTGCTTCTCCCTCTGCCTATGTCTCTGCCTCTCTCTCTCTCTCTCTCTCTCTATCATAAATAAATAAAAAAAATTAGAAAAAAAATTAAAAAAAAAATACTTGTTGAATGGCTGCCTTTATTAACAGCTAGAACATTCATAAGAGCTTTCCTTGATCACCATTCTTCTCCCCACCCACTCCCAATCCCCCAGAAAACTCATGGTTTTATAGAATGTTATCCTTGATAACAGAGAAATTATTACTCCAAAGGGTTAAAGCAGCAGGGAATTATCACTGGACTGATAAAGCTTTGGGACATATTGTGAATCACAGATAATTCCTTATAAAATCTTGACTCTCTGCTTTACCTTTAAGATTGAGGTCAAGATGGACAAAGACATCCTCTCCCTATACTGCCTTTGGGGCAACCGCACAGAGGTTGCCAGCTGCTGTCTGAATATCTACTTTCCCTTTATCATTCCCAAACATCTCTGAATTTGATTAGGATGGCAAAGATGTCTGGTTAGAAAGTGAATTTTCCAGTCTCCCTTGCTAATAATAATAAGTATGATCATAAGGCTAAGTTCTGTTCATTATTGTATAGGTAGAGTATTACTAGAGCGGGGCTAAAGGAAACAACTCAGTGAAGAGACTAAGCCAACTTACAAGAGCCCTCTTATGCCTTCTTGCACCTGAAATATGGATTTGATGGCTAAGCTGCAATGCCTATGGCTGAGCTGCAGTGGTCAATCTTGAGGACAGAAGCCAGAACTGAGGATGGTGGGGCAGAGAAATACAAAAAGGCTGGGCTCTAATAAAATTGTGGGGCTTCCATAGGATCCCTCTGGATCCCTCTTTCTTTTTTTTTCCTTTTTTTTTAAGTAGTCTCCATGCCCAGTGTGAAGCCCAATGCAGAGCTTGAACTCACAACCCTGAGATCAAGACCTGAGTAAAGATCAAGAGTTGGAGGCTTAACTGACTCAGCCACCCGGGCTCCCCTCTACTCTTCCTTATGAGTCTTATTTGTGGTCCATTTCTACGACCTCTGAAATATCAACTAAACTTCACTAAAATAAGGAAAGGCTTGATGGAGTAGATTTGTGTTTGAGACTGTGATTGAATCCTAAATCTAGCCTTCTGGGGTAGGGGTAACAATGGGATGGATACAATTTTCTCTTAGAAATCAAGGGCAGCAATGTCCACAATAGCCAAACTGGAAGGAGCCTCGGTGTCCACTGAAAGATGAACGGATAAAGAAGATATGGTATATGTAGACAATGGAATATTACTCAGCCATTAGAAATAGCAAATACCCATTTGCTTTGACATGGATGGAACTGGAGGGTATTATGCTGAGTGAAATAAGTCAATCAGAGAAGGACAAACATTATATGGTCTCATTCATTTGGGGAATATAAAAAAATAGTGAGAGGGAATAAAGGGGAAAGGAGAGAAAATAAGTGGGAAATATCAGAGAGGGAGATAGAACATGGGAGACTCCTAACTCTGAGAAATGAACAAGGGATGGTGGAAAGGGAGGTGGGCAGGGGGTGGGGGTGACTGGGTGACAGGCACTGAGGGGAGCATTTGATGGGATGAGCACTGGGTTTTATGCTATATATTGGCAAATTGAACTCCAATAAAAAAATAGAATAGAGATGAGACAGGTCAAAGAGCCTCATGTGTGGATGTGGGAGCTTGGGGGAAATGGGTGGATCAGGCAGGCTGCACAGAGGGATGCCTGCCTCCTGGTCCCTGCTGGGGCCACTCACCTGGCTGTTGATTCCAGGGGGTGGGGTCCAGGTGGGGAAGGACATCTCTGCAGGGACTAGAACAGATGTTCATTACTTGTAAGAGTGTCTGTGTCTCTTTTACCCAATGTTTATAGCAGCAATGTCCACAATAGCCAAAATGTAGAAAGAGCTCCATGTCCATTGAGAGATGAATGGATAAAGAAGATGTGGTGTATATATACATTTGAATATTACTCAGCCATTAGAAATGACAAATACCCACCATTTGCTTCAATGTGGATAGAACTGGAGGGTATTATGCTGAGTGAAGTAAGTCAATTGGAGAAGGACAAACATTATATGGTCTCATTCATTTGGGGAGTATAAAAAACAGTGAAAGGGATCAAAGGGGAAAGGAGAGAAAATGAGTGGGAAATATCAGTGAGGGTGACAGAACATGAGAGACTCCTAACTCTGGGAAATGAATAAGGGGTAGTGGAAGGGGAGGTGGGCAGAGGGATGGGGTGACTAGGTGACGGGCACTGAGGGGGCACTTGATGGGATGAGCACTGGGGTCATACTATATGTTGGCAAATCAAACTTCAATTAAAAAAATATACAAGAAAAAAAAAAAGAAATCAAGGGCAGGGCAGCCTGCATGGCTCAGCAGTTTAGCGCCGCCTTCGGCCCAGGGTATGATCCTGGAGACCCGGGATGGAGTTCCGCGTTGGGCTCCCTGCATGGAGCCTGCTTCTCCCTCTGCCTGTGTCTCTGCCTCTCTCTCTCTTTCTCTCTCTCTGTCTCTCATGAATAAATGAATAAAATCTTAAAAAAAAAGAATTCAAGGGGCAAGGAATTATCATTTTAGAAAAGAGGCAAGGACATCGAGACTCTGGGCAGATACACCAGGTGTACACAACCAGTGTGCAGCAGGGATATGACTCGGACCCAGGTGCTCTGACCGAAATCCTACACTCTCTGTCAGTTTTATGACCCCTCTTTCTTGGGTCATTCGTCTGAGAAGCCCCTTACCAAAGGTGGGTTAACTTCTGCTCTGCAGGTGCTGGTGTTACACCAGAACAGATAGTGGCACATCCACAACCCTAAGATTTTAAAGATTAATTTCACTGCTAAAAATACTCTTCTACTTACTTTGAAAAATTATAGTTCACATAATCAACCTTCAGAAATTCTAGAGATTCAGAACCTTTTAGGTCTGGGATGTTTTTTTCCTTAATCATTTGCTCAATCATCTCCATTCCAGCTTGAATGCCTACGAAGGAACCAAAGAGAACATTTATTTACAACAATGGCATAACATTATTAAATGTATATGTGAGGTTTACTGAGTAAGGCATGCTCTTGAGAGAAATTTAGAAAGCAGCAACCCTACAAAGTGGGTGCTATTGTCCCTGTTTTACAGAAGGAAAAACAGGTCCTCAGAAAGGCTAACAAAGACCCTAGGACCCCAGGGCTAATAGCACAAGAGATTCTCATTACATGGCCAAGGCTAAAGGGTACTACTACAGGGCATTATGATAGTCAAATCTGGGCAATCTGGCTTCAGAATCCTGTCTTATTATTATTATTTTTTTTTTAAATTTTTTTAATTTTTACTTATTTATGATAGTCACATAGAATGAGAGAGAGAGAGGCAGAGACACAGGCAGAGGGAGAAGCAGGCTCCATGCACCGGGAGCCCGACGTGGGATTCGATCCCGGGTCTCCAGGATCACGCCCTGGGCCAAAGGCAGGCACCAAACCGCTGCGCCACCCAGGGATCCCGAATCCTGTCTTATTAGAAACTTATTCTACATTGTCTCCTTTCCCCTAGATTCTTTAAGCTCAGCAAGTTTTGGCCTGAGGCACATGGACTGTAGGCCACTCTTAACTCTCCTGAAATTCTAGTAAAAGACTGAGCAGGATGTGTGTGTACATGTACATTTGTCTCTCATTTTTCAGAGGAGAGGGTCCACATTTGCATCAGATTCTCAAAGGATCCCAGGGCTCCAAAAAGGTTAGTAAGCCCTGCTTTTGTGTAATTCAGGAATAAACTCGTCTTTACAGAGTAGCACCACAGAACACATTTTTCTGAGTTCATGGAGAAAAAGAGCCCTCTTTCACATAAGGAGCTTGTGAAAAGTAACTGACATAGTGATGAAGAATGATCTTTTCATTTTAATCTTTTTGAGAAGGAAGCTTTGCCTTTGCCTTATTTTGTAGCTTAAGCTCATTTTTACTTAGGCTATCTTTGTGGAGATGGAGAGCAGATTTTATCCTCTATAATACCATGAATAATGTTGTAATATAGGGCTTCAGGGATAGAATGTAAAGGATATAAAGATGGAACCAAAGGCACTATCAGACAGGTTAGTTTCAAATCCTAACACTGTTATGATTTAATAATAATTGTATGTTCATGTATGCCAGACTGTCTACACTCTACACATATTCTATCCTTTGATCCTTAGAGCAACCTAATGACATAGGTATTATTATCCCTATTTAACATAGGAGACAGTTGAGGATTAGACAGGTTCACTGGCTTGCCCAAGAGCTCACAACTACTGCACATCATTATTGAGGCTTTGAGGAGGAATGGGGTGCAGAGAACAGAGCACAGATCTTGAAATCAGGCAGGGTGGACCTGAGCTCTGATCTTGCATCACCCCCTTACTGCTGTGTGACATGGCAAATTCAGTTCAGTGCTTCTGAGACTCAGTTTCCTCCTCTGTAAAATGACTATCCTTTCTTTGTAGGGTGGTTGTGGGAATTAAATCAACCCAGAGCCTATAAGGCACATATCAAAGAGCTTGGCCATGGTAGATGCTCAATCAAGGCATGGTTCTGACTTTATTTTTTTTATAATAAATTTATTTTTTATTGGTGTTCAATTTGCCAACATACAGAATAACACCCAGTGCTCATTCTGTCAAGTGCGCCCCTCAGTGCCCGTCACCCATTCACCCCCACCCCCTGCCCTCCTCCCCTTCCACCACCCCTAGTTCATTTCCCAGAGTTAGGAGTCTTTATGTTCTGTCTCCCTTTCTGACATTTCCCACACATTTCCTCTCCCTGGTTCTGACTTTAAAGCCTGTTCTTCCCCATCAACCCATGTCATATCTCTACAGATGATCCCATTTGGTCCTCACATCACTACAGGGGGGCAACATTACTATCATTCCCCTCACCTCATTTTCCAGATGAGAAAATCTACCGGCCCAACCCTACATATTGAGGAAAGGGACAGGACTGAAATTCATACCCAAATGAACTGATTAGATCTGTTCTTTTAATTGCTCTGATCTTGAGGGTAAAATAAGCTATTCTCACAACTCTAATACTTTTATGAGATATTTCTGATATGTATTTCTGTGTATATAAGTGTTATTAATATAGTAACAAGATACACACACATACACACATGAATATATGTATACACATGGATACACACATGCATTCCTGGTATGTATTTCTCATTATAGCCAGCTCATATTACAATTGTGCAAGATGGATCGATTTTAGATTTCCTGTGCTAGATGAGGTGCTGGGGGAGTTGCCCAAAACTCAGTCTTTCCTTCCTCCACCCTTTCCTTCTTCCCTCTATCCTTCCTGTATTTCTTTTTTGGTGTAGTGGGTGAGGCATTTCCTGGTCACACTTGGGTATTTTCGCAGTACTCAGGTTGATTGCTTTAGTTAAGAAAGCATCAGAGTGACTCTATCTGCCTGCATTCAGCTAACCTTGGGCCAAGATTTACAGGAGAAAACTGGGCCTACACACTGATTTCTCAGTTCCTTTCCCATATACAATCTGCCCTCATCCTAGCTCTGCTCAACATGCTTCTCTTCCTGTGTTTATAAATACCTCCAAAGGGGTTTTTCTTAATCTTTCAGTGTCTCAGGCTCCTTTTAGCATCTAATGAATGTATTGAGCCTCTCTCAAGAAAAATGCACGATCATAATCTACATTAAATCTGGCACACAATTTTAGGTGACCCTAAGTTCCTTTTGGAACCAAGCCCTTTCTGAAGGTCTACGGTGTTACTTTTACTCTCATATCTCCTCCCCTCTACCCTGTGATGTATCTTAGAGCAGGGGTGTTCATTGTATGTGCATGAGAGGGTACAGGTGGCAGGGGGGTGGGGAGAGAAGGCACATCTGTGGCTGGGTTTGGACAGGCCTATCATCAAGTTGATTGTTTTTCGGACACCACTTCTTTCCCAGCTATCTTAGCAGACTCTGCAAAAGGGGCTGGATCATCCCATAGTAGAGCTTGCCTTAGTCATGAGATTGTCCAATATGAGCTTGGATCACAAACTCCACCTGGGGGGCTGTAATTTGGCTTTTGGAAGCACTCGACTCACCATAGTCCAGAGCCCGCTGAGTAACCCTGGCCTTGATTCCAGGGTAAATGGTCTGCGTGGATGAGATGCAGAGATTCCACAGGAAGAAACATCCCCAGAGGAATTGGACTGCCTTTGTATGCATCTGCAATTAACCAACATTTATGGTTCCTTTATTATTTTTGACTTTCATTGGTCAATTCCATCTAGCTTTTCTATGATTTCTTGTTTCACTGCTTACTTCCAGAACTCATTCTATCCACCCATCCATCCATATATCCATCCATCCAGTAATAATTTATTGAACACACCAGAATATGTGCTAGGTGCTGAGGATGCAAGATGACCTATGTGTGCCCTTGACTTCTTCTTCTCACAGACTAGTGGGTGAGTCAGACACACACAGATGATTATGACTCGTACAATACAATACAATACAATGTAATGCAACACAAGAGCCTTACTGTAAATGTAACAATTGTGATATGCCTTGGGAAGGATAAGGGGGAGGGGTTGCAGGAATTTTGACAGTTTTAGAACACAAGTCAGTAGTTTAGGCAGGTAGCCTCAGAGAATGTGGGACGATCTGCTTAAAGATCCTTAATGACTCCTGTTTGCCCACAGGACAGGGTTTAAGCTCAAAGCCCAGCTGGAAGGCCCTGCCCTGCTCTACACTTCTACCTCCTCATGGACTTCCTTCCTTAACACACATGCCTGGCTCACCTCAGAATCTAGTACAATGTCTGCGACACAGTAGATATACACACAAAAAATCTCAACTCCAAAGGCAGGGATTATATCTTTTTTGCTGTTATATTGCTAGTGCTTGGAATATATTAAATATTCAATGTATATGTATTTAATTAATGGACCCAATGAGTTAATGCCAGGTCATTTTCTTTTATTTTTCTTTTTTTTAGGTAGGCTCCATACTCAGCATGCAGCCCAATGTGGGGCCTGAATTCATGTCTCTGAGATTGAGACCCGAGCTGAGATTATGAGTCAGATACTTAACTGACTGAGCTCCCCAGGTAGCCCCCAGCCCATTTTCTTGATGAATGAAGCATAGTTACAAATAGCAACACTGACATGGGTTTCTTTTAATGACAGCTGAGGTGAGTGATACGTTCACTGGCCTTGTTTCTAGTTCTGGCAGTTTACAATCTTGGTGAGCTACCCTTGCTGCATTCATATGTGCTAAAGATTGACAGGTGACAGATACCCACTGAGTTAATATACAAAATTGAGACAAATCAGGGAAGCATTTGTGGGGGTGGTCAAGGAAGAGGAAGTTTTGGGAGCCATGCAAAGGGAGGGGTCAGGCCAGGTATGGCAGGGAAGGATTCAAAGAAGGGCTGGGATTCAGGAGCGGTCTGGATGAAGGAAAAAATCATTGCAAGAGGTGTGTGGGAGGGGGGGCGGGGAGGGGGTTGTTTGGCCAAGAAAAGAAAAAGGTTTGATAAAGGAAGTGTGTGGGCTTTATGGATAAGGCCATAGAGGTGGGAATGGAATGATGTAGACAAAGAGGGTGTTCCAGAGAATTTATTTGAGAGGAATAGAACAGTCTGACCAGAGAGAGGAGTATCTATGCAGGGCTGTTGCTAGCCTAACTTGGCCTTTAGTATGGAATGGGAAAAGGTGCCCTTTGGAGATATACCAGCTTTCTGGTGCAAAATAGGGCAAGCAGAAAATGTTCTAGTGTGTTCAGTGTGCCCAACTTGTAGGGAGAGCAAGGGCTGCCCTACACACCCCGTGAGCTAGCATTTTTAAATTTTTAGATTTGATTTATTTATTTTGTGTGTCTCTGTGTGTGTGTGTGAAAGAGGGGGGGGGAGGGGGAGAGGGAGAGGGAGAGGGAGAGGGAGAGGGAGAGAGAGAGAGAGAGAGAGAAGAGCCTGACATGGGGCTTGATTCCATGACCCCGAGATCATGACCTGAACTGAATCCAAGAGTCAGACATTTAACCAACTGAACCACCTAGGCGCCCCATGGGCTGGTATTTTGTCTAATGAACACATTGCCCAATTTACATAGGGGACCTATGTTCAGATTAGTGAACGTTCATGTGGGTGTTTTGCTGGAGACCCATGAGGTTGAGAATTGGGGTCTTGACCTGTTCTGTGATGCATACGTCCACCTTCAGGTGTGAGGCTCAGTCAACTTGCTTACATTTGTCATCTGACCTCCCAGGACACCTCTGTCCAGACAAATTGGACTTCTGGTCCCTAAACACTCACCATGTTTCCTGCATAATGCCTGTGCTTATGCTGTTCGTCTTCACCTAGGCCTGTGGAAACTCTGTACATCCTTAAGGTCCATTTTAAATACAGCCTTCTTTCTGAAGCCATTTCTGACTTCCCTAAGCTTATCTAATTTCCTTCTGAATCCTTGGTCAAAATATATATTTATTCATGTGTGTATATTTATTTTCTCATGTGCTGTCTGTCTCCTCTATGAGAATATAAGTGCCATGAGGGTAGAGACCTCATTTGGTTTGGAGGTCCTAGAGCCTGGCTTAGTGTCTCAGGTATAGAGCAATTGATAAGTAATGGTAGAATGAATCAACAACAACAACAAAAGAATGAATCAGGGAATCACAAATGAAGAAGAACCATACCTTGCTCTGCACTATATTACAGTTCTTTGCAAAGGTGACTAACAAAGCATTTGTATAAGCATTTGTATTCTAGTGGAATACACTTTTCCATTATTTTTTTTTCACTTTCCCATTAGAACAGATATTGGCCACAGGTCAGGAGCAGGGTTAGGGAGGTTAGGTACCAGATCATGGGGAGGGGAGAGGTCTCGAGAGGACTGGCTAGTGTGGCTGGGGTACTGGGAATGGGATGGGGGACTCTGAGTAGTGACTATTTAGAAAGAGGCATTTCAATACCTTAACAGTGCTATGGCCTTAGCATTCAGTGTGATGTTTCAGCCCTACAGAATTGGTTTGGGTTATGCTGGACAATGCACAGAAAGAACCTGAGCAGCCATGCTGGGGGCAGGGCTATGGAGGGGTGACTTGGAGATGGTCAGGTGCAGAGGACACCAAGGGAAGCCTAGAGTCATGACAATAAGAGCCACAGGGGAGGACTTGTGTAGGAGACCTGTCTCTGGTCAGGCCGCAAGTGATCTGAGGGTTGGTGGAAATGTGAGGAGTGGGACAAGCAAGCGAGACGCAGGGTGATGTTAACACCTTATACTTCATTAGAATGGATGCAAGAGCTAGGTCTAGTTGCCATCTGTGCTAGGCCCTCCTTGATCCTGGGGTGGCAGGGGTGGTGGTGGTGGTCAAGGGGTCTTGGAGAGGAGGATAGGCAGAGATGGATGAAACTATGGGAGTGAGAGCAACACTCCTGGGGCTGTTCACCAACTGGTATAAAAGTATGTCCACATTTTAACAAATGGTGAGGCCATACTGATGTGTAGTCACACTGACACTGCCGTGGGCAAAGAACTGTAAATGGGTGTGTCATGCCAAGGCAGGCACGAGAGGGATTTTTTTTAAAGTGGAAAACATTTTCATAGCAGTAGAAAGTAAAGGGAAAAAAAGGTAGACCAAAAATTCTGTATGTATTAGACTGTATCCAAATTAAGGTTGAAAAAATCTCTCTGCCCGGCATGTAGTAGGGCTTCAATAAATATTTGCTAACTGACCAACTGACTGGCTTACAAGATTCTGGTTAACAAAGAAAGGTTCTAGAAAAGTGTGGGGAAAAATGAGAAAACCAAACCATCATATAAATAACTCTCCATTTCTACAGTGAAAAAGCATAATAAACTAAAGCAGAGCTATTATTTGTTAATGGAATAAAAACTAAAATAATGAATTTGGTTTTTTTAACCATTTACAAAACTCACAACAATTTTTGGAGGTTCATGTTACTATTATCCTACCTCCATCTTAAGCATGTGGACACAGAGACTTGGAGAGTCTGAATGACCCAAGACCACATAGTAAGTGAGGCCCTTGGGAACCACACCTTTTTCTTCTGACTCCCTATTCTAGTGTTTATGAATTTTATTACTTGGTAAGTGTTGGATTTTTCATTTTCATCTCGGAACTTTAGGAGATGCTTGATGCCATCTTCTATGTGGAAAAAATCATTAAGCATCTGGAGATTTTCAAGCATTAAAGTGCAAATCCTTTCATATTTTCTTGGGCACAAATGGAGTTTTAAATGCCTTTCCAGCTGCAAAAATTCTATTTTCTCTTCACTGGGTAAAGGAAGTCTCTGAAATGGTCTACTTTGACAGAGATCGAGGAACTCAAAATTGCACATAGAAAAACATATATTTTTTAGAAATTTTATGAGTGAATGAAACTACTGAGCTATAAAAGGATTGTATGTAACTTTCAGGTGAAGTGTTTGTTAGGATGATAATTTATGGGCAGAGGAGGGAAGGAACCTTGTCAAGCAAGGAGATGAGTCCTAAAAGGTTAAGTAATTTGGCTGACAAGTAAGGGCAGGATGAGTTGCCTGCTAAAGGAAGGGATCCAAGATGACTTAAAAACTCTGCCGACAAGTCACCTATTTTGTTGTTTAAGGAATTGTTTCTTTCCAAGATTCAAAACCTCAAAAGTCATTACATTTCCATACCAATAAATGGGCAGAATAACACTTCTAAACTAGATGGCCCTACCATAGCAACGTTTTTCTAGATATGTCTCCTGAGGCAAGGGAAACAAAAGCAAAAATAAATTATTGGGACTTCATCAAAATAAAAAGCTTCTGCAACGTGAAGGAAACAATCAACAAAACTAAAAGACAGCCTATGGAATAGGAGAAGATATTCGCAAATTACATATGCAATAAAGGGTTAGTATCAAAATAATTAAGGAGCTTATATACTCAGCACCCCAAAATTTTACAGTAATCTGATTCAAAAATAGGTAGAAGACATGAACAGGAGATTGTCTCCAAAGGAGACAATCTCCAGATGCCCAACAGACACATGAAAAGATGCTCAACATCACTTATCATGAGGGAAATACAAAAGTACAGTGAGATATCACCTCACACCTGTCATAATGGCTAAAATCAACAGTACAAGAAACAATGAGTGTTGGCAAGGGATGCGGAGAAAAAGGAACCCTCCTATACTATTAGTGGGAATACAAACTGGTTCAGCCACTGTGGAAAACAGTATGGAGTTCCACAAATAGTTAAAAATAGAATTGCCATATGATTCAGTAATTGCACTACTGAGTATTTACCCCCAAAATACAAAATGTTAATTCAAAGCGATTTGAATCCCTTTGTTTCACCCCTATGTTTATAGCAGCATTATTTAAAATGGCCAAATTATAGAAGCAGCCGAGTATCCATTGAGAGATGAATGGATAAAGAAGGTGTGGTACACACACACACACACACACACACACACACACACACACACACACACGCACTCAATGGAATTTGATTTGGCCATAGAAAAGAACAAAATCCTGCCATCTGAAACAACATGGATGGAGTTGGACAGTATAATACTAAATGAAATAAGTCAGAGGAGGAAAAATACCATATGATTTCACTCATATATGGAATTAAACAAAGCAAATAAGCAAAGGAAAAAAAGAGAGACAAATCAAGAAACAGACTCTTAACTATAGAGAACAAATTGATGGTTAGCAGAGGAGGTGGAGGGGATGAGTGAAACAGGTGATGGGCATTCAGGAGTGCACTTGTTGGGATGAACACCAGGTGTTGTATGCGTGTTGAATCACTATGTTGTACACTGAAACTAATATTACATTGTATGTTAACTAACCTGAATTAAAATAAAAATGAAACAAATAAAGACATAAATATATTAGGTGGCCCTTGCCGTTCTGATGACCAGAAACAAGAAAACCCTAGAACAGCTTAGAAAATTCCTGAGACAGGTCGACTTACCATTGGTGTTTACTGAGGGGAGCTTTACAGGCTTTGGAAAAATCAGTTAAAGGAGATGATGGATGAAATGCAGCCTTGAAAACAGGATCAAAGGGGAAAAATTAAGTCCAATTGGTTTAAGGAAGCCTAAACTGTCAGAATATTCCAACCTAATGGTTAAAACAAAATGTGTATTAGACATCTAAATCAATAGGTATAGGATACGAGGAGAACTGGAGGCTATTTCAAGGAATTCAGCTCTCACATCTGATTTTTACCAAGATCTCAAGTGACAAGGGCATTGAAAATTTACATCTAGCCTTCCCCAAACTCCTTACTTAACACAAACAGGTTAAACAAGTGGGAGGGCCTTAGCTCTGGCAGGATGTAGGTCACTGATGTGGTGGTTTAAGACCTGGGTCCCAGAACACAGACATCACAGCAGCCCCTTCTTCCTAAATCCACACTGGTTCAAGTTAGAGACAAGTTAGAATTTTCTTCCACTGAGCTGGGCTCCCCCCTGAAATGAAGGCAAAAATAAGTCCAGAAGATTGAGTGACTGTCTTAACATTGCTGAATGAGGCAAATGTCAATCTGTCGTTCACACCAACTCTCTTTTCTTAGACCTGCTCATAGCCTTCTGGGTCGGCCTAAGTGACATAAAAGACAAAACAGAAAAACCTAGGCAGACAATGACTCAAGCCACATGACAGCGGACTGACCAGGACATCGCCAGTGGAGAGGGTAATCCCCGCTGGGAGATTGTGCGCTGGCAGAGATCTGAAGTTTGCTCACAATTCTTACCTCAAGCCGAGGAAGCATCCAAAGCTGGGGAGTACCTTCGATTCCTTCTGCCTTTGAAACTATGTGTTCCCCACTTGAGCCTTGAACCCAGCTGCTGAAAAGACAAGATAATTAAGTCTGAATCATCTACAGGTGGATTTTTTTAAATGCCTCTTTCAAAATGTGATACATAATTGCTACACTTCAATTGCCCAATAGCATGAATGAACACTACAGTCTCTACCTAGATGAGCAGACAATGCCACCCATGCAATCATTACTCCCTGTAACACACACACACACACATGCACACACACACAACTATTATGACTACATTACCAGAATGATTAAGTCATGACTTTCAATGTACTGAAAAAGGTGTCAATTTGCATTGAATTGGAAGAGGAAGAATTTTCCTTTCTGGGATAATAAGCCAGTTTCTCCTGCTCAGGATACCTAAAGTGGATGGCTCCACCACTATCCAGAATACCTTTTGGACTTTTGGTGGATCAGATTCAGTCTGAAAGTGTGAGGGTTGATAACTGGGCTGACCTAGTTACGGCCTTTATCTTTCAGGGTAGGAGCACAGATGGGATCTCTAAGTGTCTGCTCCCTTTCGGAGTTGTTAGTGCTTTCTGCTCCCAGCATTTCTTTGAGGTTAAGTTGGGTGGGTGCCTGGACTCCTATGTGACTTCATATCGGTAGGTTCTAAACCCTATCTGCCCTCCCATCCCCCATGCTTCAGTCATTGCATTTTACATGGCCAGGGATCTGATTGCATGAAGTATCTAAGATCTTATTTATAATCTTCTGGGTAAGATAGGGCAACCAACTGCCCTGGTTTTCTCAGGATGCAGGATTTTCAGTACTAGAACCAGAACAGGGATGCCTGGGTGGCTCAGCTGTTGAGTGTCTGCCTTTGGCTCAGGTCATGATCTGGGGGTCCTGGGATCCCACATCGGGCTCCCTGCATGAAGCCTGATTCTCTCTCTGCCTGTCTCTGCCTCTCTCTCTCTGTGTCTCTCTGAATAAATAAATAATAAATAAATAAATAAATAAATAATCTTAAAAAAAATCCTGGAAACCCAGGATATTGGTAACCTTAAAATGAATAGTAGGCATGTTACTTGGCATTGTCTAACTCCTGACACCTTTTAGGTTTCTCACCTAGGGCACCTCCAGTTATGCTTATCCATTTAACTTGTATTTCCTTAGGGACAAAACGTGGATAAAAATAGTATATACCTTGATACGTTCTGGTGAAAAAAAAATGTTGGTAACCATCAGTCTGTTTGGGCTGCTATAGCATATAAACAACAGAAATTTACTGCTCGCAGTTCTGGAGGCTGGGAAGTCCAAGATTAAGGAGCCAGCATGATCACGTCTCCCTGGTTCATAGCCAGCGCCTTCTGGCTGTGTCCTCACACAGTGGAGGGAGCCAGGGATCTCTCTGGAGCCTCTTTTATATGGCATTAGTCCCATTTATGAGGGCTCCACCTTCATAACTTGAGCACCTCATAAAGGCCCCACCTACAGATACTATCACCTTTGGGGATTAGGATTTCAACATATGAATTTTGGAGGGACACAAACATCCAGATTATAATAATAATCTGTAAGAATTTGTTCTTAAAACTGAGAAATGCTATAAAATTTTATTCATTAGTATGTGGCCTTATCAATGGTGATACAAGGCTGAACATTCTCTCCTCATAGAATCGCTGTCAATCATCACAGATCCTACGCATTCAATCCATAAATATTGGGCACGTACTATATGCAAGGACCTCTTCAGTAAAAACGATAGGATCCCCATGCAGGTGAAGTTTATTAAACAAAGATATAAAACAAACAAGCAAACAGCAAAATAAATAAAAATGTATAGATTGTGACACATGCTATTAAGGAAATAAGGGAATGTATTGGTGTGGTGGTCTTGTAATTGGCAGAGTGCTGTCACTGTAGGAGGCATGCTCGCTTTGTGGGATGGTCCAGGAAGTCTTCTCTGAGGAGGTCGATTTGAGCTGAAATCTGAGCTCTGAAGGGAATGGGAGGAGAGAACAACAAAGGTGGACAGTATGCCTGTACTGCATGAAGGATAGAAATACTGGTATTAGGCACCTAAAAGGTATCAGGTGGGTAGTTGAAGTTCTGGGGAAAGTTTGGCCAGAAATATGAATTTCTAAGTCATCATTCTGGAGGTGAAATGAAAGGCCAGCAGTGGACAGGTACATGTGAGGCAGTTTCCCACAGTGCAGGTACTACGGAGGGTTGTGGGATAATCTCAGGTGCTTGACAGATAAATACTTGAAACTGTATTATTATTGTTTTTAGTGTGTGAGGAACAAGAATACACAACCAGACATGGAAGAAGAGGCATGACATCATAGATCACAAGGAAAAAATTTATAAAATACCTTAAATATTTCTGTCCCTTCCTCAGAATCTTCTCTGGGTGGCAGTACCAGTTTCTCCCCACCCTCCCCCCTGGTCCTAGGTTTTCCCTCTATCTGTCCTGCCCAGAGTGGCTGCTTGGCCCCATCTTCTTCCCCTGCTCCCCTACTACCCAACTGCCTCATTCCTTTTCCCTGTCAGTAAGATCCCTGTCCTGCTCAGCCCCCTATTTGCCTCTCCTATCTATTAAGCAGCTGCATAGGATCTGCTAGAGTTACAGGGAAGCTGAACATTATAACACAGTAGTATTTTTCTGATGCAAATATTAACTCTTCCTTTTGTCCTGGAAAATCTGAAAGCCTTGGTGGAAACCTGAATCATTGTTGTTCATTCTGGGGCATCTGGCACAGGATTTGAGGGGAGTTCTCAGGAAGTGTGGCCTGAAGATAGTAAATTGGGGCTCTCACCTCACAGGGACTTGCCCTGCCCACCCCACTGGGGACCCTGAGCAATTTACTCCACTCCTCGGTCTCAGTAATCCTCTGTAAAAGTGGAGATCACACTTACTTTTCAGAGTCAATGAGAGTTAAACTGAATGAACTAGCACATGGTTTTTCATACAATATTAATGAGATGCATTATTATGTTTCTCTATTTTTATTTTAAACATACAAAGTTTAGTTTCCATGGTATATATTTTTTCATTTACCCTCTATTTGGAATTTTATAAGTTTTTCCTTTACCTGGCTTTCCTTTAAAAAAATGTATATACAGTTTTTAAAAAATAGTATTTTTTTAGAGAGGGAGAGAGAGAGAGAGAGAGAGAGAGAGAGAGAGAGAATCAAGAAGACTCTGTGCCGAGTGTGGAACCTGACTTGGGGCTCAATCTCACGACCCTGAGATTATGACCTGAGCTGAAATCAAGAGTCAGGCACTTAACTGACTGAGCCACCCAGGTGCCCCTAAATAATTATACATAGAGTTTAAGAAGTAGGCTGACTTATATAGAGAAGGAAAATAAATAATGGTGCAGCTCAGGCAAGACATGGAATAATTCTAGAAAAAGAGGCTCAAATAATTTGAGTTTAGGAAACAAAGATAGCAGAAGAGAGGGCAGCTAGTTTGTTTTTGTTTAGAAGGGGCCTGAGAAGTAGGCTCCTTAGCCTCCTTTCTACTCAGGGAGTGGCTTTGAGGCGAATTTGCTGAACTCATCATCACAACAAAATCAAGTAGCACTATGTCTAGTTTCACTATTTATTTTAATTTTTCAGATTTAACTGAAAATTTGCTGGGAACTCTTGCTTATCTAGCCTACCCACGATGGCAATCTAAAGGCAAGATTAATTATTTCACTTACTAATGGCTGACAGCATGTTAGTCTCTGCAGATCAAGGGACACCTTTAATTAAAACTCCAAAGAAACATCATAATTAACTAGGTAGAATGATTGTTCATTAAAGAAAGATTTCAAGGTGCAGTGTTGAGGAACTGAGTGTCCTACTGCTTGGTTTCTAGACTTGTCTGGGCTATTCTCATATAGAAAAAAGCTATCTGAATACCAGGCTTTTTTTTTTTTTTTTTTTTTTAGCTGAAGACAAATTTAATCTTTGCAGGAGAGTAAAGTGACAGGGGAGAGGGATCATCTGTATATGCAGGGGGGTGTGTGAACCAACATTTTGTGTTGGTGAGATCTGGTTAAAGGGACACCCTGAAGAGGGAATAAGAAGTAGGAAAAAATAAGAGCTAACATTTTTTGTTATGCTTCGGGCACCAGCCATATATTACCTTGCTAAATACCCATCAAGACTGTATGAGGTACTAATATTATCTCAATTTTATAGGTGAGGAAACCAAGAGGTTAAGTATATGCCTAAGCTTAGGTGGAAGAGCCAGGACTCAGGACCCAGGTGTCTTGCTTTCCAGAGTCTGTGTTCTTAACCACAATGCCAAACTGCCTCTTCAAGAAGGTCGCTATAGAGCAACCCACAGCCCAGGGGACGCAGAAGGTGAGGAGAGAGAAGGATGCTGTTGCTAGGCAATATATCTGCTTTTTCCAAGCTGCCAACTGAATCTGTGAGAGTGACACAGATATATGTGTTTGTTTGAAGTTGCTAGCTTAGTCCTGAATGGAGGAAGTGGTCTGGAATTTGTGTGGCTCTCGAGAGAGATCAGGACCCTACCGTTCACTCTGGACAGGCTCAGGAGACATCTGGCAGAGTCATCCTATCACCCGGCAGCATCTCCCCCTCTCTTCCCAGCTCTGTCCCAGGCCACCCTCTCTTGATGCCTGTGATGACTAACCCAGACCATGGCTCTCACGCTAGTCACATTCTGGAATGGTTTATAGTAAGGAAGTATAGTAAGAAAGTATAGTATAGGAAGTCCACTTCTTTCTGGTTTTGAAAAATAAACAAACCCACTTACCTCACTTATCAGTTGTCTAAAAGGGAGTTACATTTTATTATTTGCAGTTCAAAGTGAATTTAAATTCATGTTAAATTTGATATGAACATACATATGTCTTTATGAGACATATTGTGGAACCAACCAGACAAGACAGTGTGATATAACTCTGAAATGTCTGAGAAACCACCACTGTGAGCCCAGTTCAGACAGACAAGGATTTCTCTACCTCAATGCTTATTGACATTTTGGGCCATAAATCTTTGATGTGGAGGCTGTCTTATTATGCATTGTAGGCCCCTGGCCTCTACCCTGATG